GAGGTGGGAGAACTGCGTGAGCCCAGGAGTTTGAGACCAGCCTAGGCAACACAGCAAGACCTATGTTGTTTCTATGAAACAAAACAAAAAACCAATAAAAAAGTTAGCTAAGCAGTGCCGTGTGCCTGTGGCCCTGGCTCCACAGGAGACTGACATGAGAGGTCAAGGCTGCAGTGAGGGTGTCCGGACCACTGCACTCCAGCTGGGGCAAGAGAGTGAGACTCTGTCTCAAAAATAAATAAATAAATAAAAATCCAGTACGAATAGTGCTTTTTTCGTGCTAGAAATATGATGGTACTCTGTTGGTCAAGCTCTAGTGCCCATCTAGCCTTTGTTGAATGGCCTTTATTACAATTTCTAAAAGTCATGGCACCAGGGAAATTCAACTTACAAAGTCACCGCCCTTACGGAGGGAAGTGGGACAAAGAGATGAAAACATAAATATATAATACGTGCTATCGAGAAACGTAAGCAGAATATGGGGATATAGGGTGATGTGGTTGCTACTTAACAAAGTAACCAGGAAAGACTTCTTTGACGAGGGGACATTTAAGGAGACAAGCTTCTCTATGAATGGTCAGAAGAACTTTCTGGGCGGCAGGAGTATCAGTGCCAAGGCCCAAAGTGTCAGGAACATGATCAGAGTGTTTACGAACATCAAGGAAGCCAGTGTGGCTAAGGCAGAGTGAACACGGAGAAGAAAACGAGGAAATGAAACTGGCGTGGCAGCAAGAGGCAAACCACGCAGAGCCACAGAGGCCTTCGGAAGGACTTTAGATTTTATTCTGAATGTGCTGGGAAGCCAACAGAGGTTGTGAACCCGGGAATACTATTAACAAAAGGATTGCTCTGGCTGCTTTGTGGAAAGCAGACTGCAGGGGATCAGAGCGGAAACACGGAGGGCACCCCTCGCTCTGGGCAGGCCGTGTGGCTGCTCTGCCGGGTGAAAGGCGGAAGTCACGGTGCTGAGCCGGCGCCCTGGTCTGGGCTCGCAAAGACGGGCAGCAGCTACTCTTGTCTTTTGCAGCATGTCCCTTCCCCTTTATTCCTACGAACCCGGGCTGCCACAGAAGTCCGACTACGTGAGACCATTACATGGACAGTCCTGCTGAGTTCAGGCTTCCCGCCGTCCCAGCCAAGGTGCCAAAACACATGGCTGAAACCATCTTGGATGCTGTGGGCCACCCCATCTGTCAGCTGAATGCCACCAAGTGACCTCAATTGATACCACATGGAAGAGGAGGATCACCTGGTGAGCTCAGCACTAATTCCTAACCTAAAAAACTATGAGACGGCATAAAACGGTGGTTTTAAGCCACTAAATTTTGGAGTAGGTTGTGACTACATGGCGACAGATAAAGAGAACGGGGAAACGGAAGTGTGCTGCTGTCAGGGCTTCCTGGTACAGTGAGGTAGAACAGCATTATTTAGACTGTGGTCACTTAAAGCTGCAGATTACACTAGAGCAGCCACTCAAAGAACCACAGTGGTATAGTGAATAATACAATGGAATACTTACACAAAAACCCCACAAACCACTTCAATCCAAAAGGAAGAAAGAAAAGAGAAAAAACAGATACACACAAAGAGAAAACTATGGTACAGCAGGGCTTCCAATAACGTCATTTCATTCAATGTCATTTCCTTCTAACGCTGATGAAGGGAAAAAATTCCAGATGGGGCCACTGTCTGTCTGAGTTGGCACATTCTGCTCATGCCTGTGTGGGTTTTCTCGAGGTACTCAGCTTCCTCCCACATCCCAAAGACGTGCACATTAGGTTACTTAGTATGTCTAAATTACCCGAGTGTGAGTGTGTGTGTGTACCCGATGATGGAATATGTGCATGTGCATGTGTGTGTACCCTATGATGGAGAGAGTGTGTGTGTATGCATACCCTATGATGGAGAGAGAGAGAGACAGAGAGTGAGAGTGTGAGAGTGTGTGTGTGTGTGTGTGTGTGTGTGTCCTCTATGATGGAGACAGTGTGTGTGTGTGTCCTCTATGATGGAAGGGTGTCCTGCTCAGGGTTGGTTCCCAGCTTGTGCCCTGAGCTGCCAAGTTAGGTTCTGGCCGCCTTTGACCCTAAACTGGAAATAAGCAGGCTGAAAAACGAGTAAGTACAAATTACTGCAAAATAAAAATTCATAAAGTATATGATACTCATACAAATGCACAACAATAAATAGCATGGTATGAAAGTGCTCAGCAAGCCTGCCAGATTGGTTACTGTTTTTGAACTGTATGGTGACAGGAGGTGCTCCTTACAATTTCAGCTTCACAAACATTTACTCCTTGATTTAACCCACCTCCACTATGACCACCATCACTCACTGAGATTCACCAAAAATTGGGCAAACAATTACGTGTTTCTATTAATCTTTTCCTGAATGTATCTATAAGGTCACATTTCTTCTAATGTTTAAAATTAGAAGTGCTTGGGATCTTTATTTACGAGTTTGGCAATCAGAAATATGCCAGAGGAACTTAACACTTGTTTATATCAATTTGCCTATACTAAAATTAGTTTCATTATACTTTGTTTCACTTCAAGTCAGTTTCCAAGAACCTATCGAGGATGTTAAACAAGGACTGACTTACACGCAACCATATCAATACATGTACTAAATATAAATGGTCTAAACACTTGAGCTGCTGAAAGGCAGAGTTTCTAAGAGTGAAATTAAAAAGATGCAACTATGCTGTTTATGCTAAGAGATACACATTAAACAAACATAGATAGGTTAAAAATAATAGGATGGGAAAATATATAGCATGCAAACAATAATCAGAAGCTGGCATGACTATATTATGATTTTAGAACAAGTAATATTACTGGAAATAATGGAGGATATTTTATACAAGGGTCAATTCATTAAGAAGCTGTAACAATGTATCTGTATCTAATATCACAGCTTCAAAATCCATGAAGCAGAAGCTAACAACTGAAAGAAGAAATAAGCAAAACCACAATTACAGCTGAAGATTTTTACACACATGGTCCCAACTTCTAAAGATCAGAATTAGGATTTTTTGACTTTATGATGGTGCAAAAATGATATGCATTCAGTATACTCCCTTATGATGGGGCTACATCAGGATAAACTGTCAGCTGATTGTAAGTCTGACACTTTCAGCTTACAATATTTTCAGTTTACCATGGGTTTACTGAGGCATAACACCATCATAAGTTGAGGAGCATCTGTATTCCCTTCTCAACTGACAGCACAAGTAGACAGAAAAATCATTAAGGATATAGGAAACCTGAACAACTCTACCAACCAATCCAACATAATTAAGGTTTATAGAATACCATAATCAACAACTGTAGAATACACAGAAGTGCATATGGAAAAATCACCAAGATCATATGTTGTGTCAGAAAACAAGTCTCAATACATTAAAAAGACTGAAACCAGACTAAGTTATCTGACCACAGCAGAATGAGAAAATCAGGAAAATCTTAAATATTTGGAAACTAAGACACACTTATATGTAACCCATGGGAAAAGAAGAAGAAAATACAAGGAAGAATATCACAATAATACAGCAGGAATAAATTTAGTATCTTGAATATCTCAAGATCAAAGAGAGTAAGATTTTTTTTTTTTTTTTTTTTGGGCAGAGTCTCACTCTGTCATCCAAGCTGGAGTGTAGTGGTATGATTTCAGCTCACTGTAACCTCCACTTCCTGGGTCAAGCAATTCTCATGCCTCAG